CTAGTATTTCAGAAATTTTTGGAATGATGCAGTACAGTATCAGAAATCAAACACCAATATCATCCTCTTTACTATAAAGCTGTATTAACTGACTGTTATATAATGAGATAAATGTACTTGCATACTTCTGTATTATGTTTATTGTCCATGTAATACAGGGTGGCCCAAAATTATCATTCCTATTTTAAAATTTTAAGACCTCTGGTCACGAAAAACCAACCCAAATTTAGGGAAAAAAAATGTCAGAGATGAAAAACATGGATTGGAGGAGCAAAACTATATCAACGTAATCCACTAATATAATCTAAAAAAGCTTCTTCTGATTGAAAAAATATACTCATAAATGAAATCTGTAAAATGCCTTGCCAGGAACATAAACATAGAAAGAAAGGAGACTGCTTCGCCTGTGGTGTTTATAGATGCTGCTTACCTTTGGATTCATGCTTGAATGATGCTGAAAGAAGAGTAATGAGAAGGACACATGCCCTGAGAGGTCAAAATCAAATTAGATTAGAAGAAAGCAAGGTGTATGATATTGATTCTGGAGAAGATGGAAATGCTGAAGCTTCTAAAACCAGTACTGCTATATTCAATGCTTTGTGTATTACCAATCTCACAGCTTTGGAATGCTAATGCATTGCAAAGTGTCAGACAAAGACAGAAGACTGTTCAAATATGCATATAAATAACCGATAAGTTATTCCAACTTTTATATCCAACTGATCCATTTGATTTGAAGATGTATTTTATCGACAAACTACAGACTAATGAGAAATATACGACGGAACCCATTTCTAAAGGCCTGTGCAAGCTATCACTTGTTGGGTGCAGAAACATTTCTGTGGTTGCTCAAAGCATTTTGGCAAATACAGTCAAATGATGTACATGCAAAAGGATGCTCGCTGATGATTTCAATAGTCTACCAGACCAACAAAAACAGCTTATAGGTGTTCAAAAGCACTCAATGGGAAAAGTGAAATTTTCATCCTTGAGAAAGACCTTTGCTAGAGATGGGATCGCAGGCACTACTGGAAAAGTACTTGATGCCAATCTGTTGAATGGTCAATGTCAGTGAAAAAGTTTAAAGCAAAAACTGGGAACCAAAGCACATGAGGTTCAATGGGAAGTTAATGCTGCTAAAATGATTTGCTCATCCAATATATCCAAGGCAGAAGTTGTTGTAGTGTGCAAGCTTAATGAGTGTGGAGCCAATGAACTGAATATTGAAACAAGGTTGTCATTTACATCCCCAAGGCACCATTATTTACACCTTATCAACGTGCAAATTCTGAGTTGAATGAACAAGATCAAGTTAGGATTACTGCTAAATCACTGGCTATTAGCCAATCACTGTCTCTGGTCCACTGTAATCATCTACACTTTGTCCAGAAGCATTGTCAGAAGGGTGGGCAAGCTACCCAGGGAATACAAAAGATGAAATGCCCAGGGAGTGTGTGGAAAAGTTAATTGAGTTATACGAAATGGGAAAAAGAAACAAAAAGTCAGTAAGTGTCCACCAATAAAGCTCATTAGATTCTGATGAATTCAGTTCTTCTAGGATATTGGCAAGATAGATTTCGTGTCACCGTTTCCAATATAAAGGCATTCTTTTCTTTAACTCCAGCTAAAATGAAAGTATTGATTGATAGTGATAGTAAATATCCCAAAGACGAAGTGGATGAAGCTGAATGTTCATATTTGCAGGAAGAAATTGCTGTATCTTCTGCCTCACTTATTGATTTAGATATGCAAACAGAATAACTTAGTCCTCATTAACAGCAAAATTTACATACAGCTGTATCTTTTTTCATACTTCATGGATTTCAAATCTGAAAAAGATTCTGAATAGTAGAGTCAAGTAGTTTATTTCTACCAATCAGTGCCTTCTGGGACATAATATTTGAAAATTTGGTGCAACACCTATAGTGGTCGGTTTTTCATGACCGGGGTTCTTAATAATTAAATAACTAAAGAAATAAAACCAGGCAGTTTTCAACATCTTGTAACACAACTCAAACAGTTTTTATTATCATGTTTTTTTTAACTTCAGTGAGTAGTGTTACCCTGTAAGATGTAAACAGTGCAAGAAAAGGCTCAATGCATCATTTGGCTTGCAGAGACCAAGTTAGTGACTGTAGTGCAGGATAATTACAAATGCAAATACAGGAAAGAATCATCATCGAAGCCAACTATGTGGGAGTGGATGAAGAAGCTCTTGGAGACAAGCAGTGTGTTACAGCTACTGGGAGATGGAAGGCTCTCAGCCAGTGATGAACATATCAAACAAGTAAACAAATCATTTCAGCATAGCCCATGAATATCACTTCACAAGCATCCCAAAAATATCTCTGCTCTGTGTCATTCATCTGCATGCCTACAAACATCAGTTGGTACAGGCACTGCAAACAGATGATAGACCACAGCACAAGATATTTGCAGTGAACTTCCTTAGATGAAGACAACACGTTTTTAACTTGTGTTTAACTGTTAAGTGACGAGGCTACATTTCTTACCACAGGTAAAGTGATTCACCATAATGTCTGCATTTGGGGCTCTGAAAACCCCATTACATTATTGAAATTGTGCGTGATAGTACAAAGTTGAATGTGTGGTGCGGTCTCAAGTGTGACACGATTATTAGTCCTATATTTTTTGCTGAGAGCACTGTTACTGGGACATGTACCTTGACATGCTGAAACAATTTGTGGTCACACAACTGGAAGAAATACAATCATAGATAATATTTTAACAGGATGGTGCTCCACTTCACTGGAGTTTGTTGATCAGACATTTACTAGTTTGTTGGTCAGACACTTCCTAGATCAGACATTTACTGGAGTTTGTTGGTCAGACACTTCCTAGATCGGACATTTACTGGAGTTTGTTGGTCAGATGCTTCCTAGATCCAACACTTACTGGAGTTGGTTGGTCAGATGCTTCCTAAATCAGATATTTACTGGAGTTTGTTGATCAGACATTTACTAGTTTGTTGGTCAGACACTTCCTAGATCAGACATTTACTGGAGTTTGTTGGTCAGACATTTACTAGAGTTTGTTAGTCAGACACTTCCTCGTTCAGACATTTCAAAGGTGATGGATTGTTTGGGATGGGCCAATTCCATGGCCTCCATGTTCACCAGATATCACTCCACTAGACTTCTCTCTTTGGGGGTATATTAAGGACATTATGTATCGCACTCCTATATCAAACATCGTGGAGTTATAGACCAGGATAACAGATGTTATCTCCACTGTAACTGTGGACTGAAGTAGAATGTTGGTTAGACATGCTGAGACCCACTAATGATGCACATGTAAAAGTTTACTGACATGTCAATAAAAACTGTTTGAGTTGGGCTACAAGATGTTCAAAACTGCATGGTTGTATTACTTTAGAAATTTATTTATGAAATTTTAAAATACAAAAGATAATTTTGGGACACCCTGTACTTTGTAAACAAAGTAGAATATCAGAAAATTTAAATAAAAAAAGAGATAAGCTCAAAAACATCACCCATTTCTTCTTTACAAATAACCATGCTTTTCACAACCCTGGTAAGATTACATACTAAACCTGACATGCCTGTTATAATTTCTTGATGAACTATTGTTTTCTGTTACCATGAATATGTAACTTTTCAATCAGAAAGCATTTCCTCATAGATTTTTGGTCAAATCTGTCACTTGGCAATTACTTTGTTATTTGGATGTGAAGAAGATTGCAGAAATCCAACATGTTGTCAAACTTCCGGTGTCTTTGAAAAAAAAAGTTAAATATTCTGACAACTGACATTTAAAATTTTTGATATAATGTTAAAATAAACATAAGTTTTCACCTTATTCCTATGCACTTTACATATACATTTTCTGTACAAGTTGCTGTGCTTCACTACATTGTGTCTTGTATTACTTTCAAAAACATGCATCATAAAGTAACTTGGGTAAAAGCATACTAATCAATGCTAATTTAGATCTAAAACAAAACCAGTGTAGATACGGTGTGTTACCCTCTGAGGCACTGAAATATTTAGAGCTATGTATGTAAAAGAAATTATCAAAGCAATCAATGCAAAATTAGCACTTATTTATATGTAATACATTATCTATAAAGACAGTTAAAATATACTACAGCAACAGTAACATTTATATAATTGATATTAAAGGTAACGTAAGACTGAACATTGAAGATACTGCTATTGTAATCTGATAACAGCTTAATTTCCTTCTTATATTTTAACATTACTACAATTAATATTTTTACCATTTAAATATAAAAACAAATTATGTTCTGTTCAATGTATTACTTATCATTTAAAAAACTGCAGAGAAATGAATAGGAAGTTTGAGTTCACTAGGTTCCATATTTTATTACAGTATTGACTGTATTTAATTGACACAATATTTGGTCATTCACACCAGCTATATCTTCCATTTTATGGAATATACTGCTCAACTACAAAATCAATAGTAATATCAATGATTTTGGCATCTCAATGAAGTTTCTCAGTCTAATTTAAACATTATTTTGTGAATGAAACTGCTACAACATGGGCTGCGGATTCAGCACCTTAGGTTTACTGTACAACTAATAAAAAAAGTTTTGTTTGCTTATTGTTAAGCACAAAGCTATACAGTTGGCTATCTGTGCTGTGCCCACCATGGATACTGAAACCAGATTTTTAGTTTTATAAGCATTTAGACTTACTGCCGAACCACTGTGGGGGTTGAGAGAGAGGCCTAACTAGCATTTTTAAATATCAACAAATACATTCATACATCATCATAGTTCCTTCTCCAGGCTGCTACTCTTCTTATAACATACCTACAGCCCCAAAGTGAGGAGTGTATTTTTTGGCTAATGGAATGAAAACCATGAGCTTTTGGGTTCAATGTTCATACATACTAACCACTAGGCTATGCTTGGGGCCTAGATATCTATGAAAGTACAAAGGAAAACAATTTACAATATTGGTTATAATAACTTGTATGCATGAACTAACCTTGCAGAATATACAGATGTCTTCACAAGAACCTTTCTTTACTGCTGATTGCAGCTTACTTCCTGTTCTAGATATTAAAAGAAAAATATATGTTATTTGAATATGGAATTTTGACCCAATTAAAAATGCACAAAACTGACTGGCTACTCCATAACTTCTATAACATTTCTAATTATCTTTAAAATACAATTGCTTTGTAAAATATCCAACCAACCATTATTTTCTTAATCATTAGTTTTATAAATTATATATGTACTAGCTCCTATTAACATCATGTAAATACAATTTGAAAGCTCATCCACTGGGTCAATGAGTTGTACAAATTCCATTCATTTCTTAAAATTAGGATAAAACAAAAGTTAAACCACTCAACCACTTGTTTGTATGTATTTTGAAAATGAAAGTTTTAACTAATGTTTCATATAAATTAATGTATTATTTCAAAATGAAAACTTGAGCATCAGAAAGCTTAGCACCTTATTTACAAGATAAACAGTTATATGTGGCAAAAGTTTCTGAATATCTTTACAAATGCCCTGCATCAAATCTTAATTAAAAAGGCTTAGTAAAAATAACAACAAATATTAGATTAAAAGTAGAAAATTATATTTCTTTTCATGATACCTTAATACTCAGCCATGATTCTAATCAACCTTGTTTCCTGTGTTAAATGTATTGTCAACTTGAGCTAGGCAGATTTAGAGAAATAACTTACAGAACAGCTCTCTATAAAGCTAATGGCTTATACACTCAGTGATTTACTTTTTAATATGCTAGACCTAATAATATTAACTGATGACACGTTATTATCCAGAGATCACTTCCTTGTTATTTTTCAGAAATATATATATACAAGAAAACATCTAACAACTGAGAAATATATACAGACTTTTATGACACTGATTAGTGTTAGAAATATATACTTTTATAATACTAATTAGTGCTAAAACTCAGTTTTATGACAGATTTCATTTTCAGTGAGATAGGGATTTTCATTAGTCAAATAAAAAAAAAGGTTAATATTATACAGCTTGTGTATAACATTCAATAAAAAAAAATATTAAATATACTTGTTCTTTCCAATACACACTAAACAACCTTAAGCTACATTTCTGTGATATGTTACTAATTTTTATATTTGGTATATAGCTTTTACTTTTCTATGACTATTTAATATGTATGAGAAAACAGACTAGGTAAACACACTCAACAAATAAAAATAAGTTATTGATGAAAGTATTTAGTAGAAACTTGATAAAATGTTGTTACCCAAAATGCTATTCATATTTGTCAATAAACTTATTTTAAATCTGGCAACTGTTTTACCTTGTTCATTTTCGTCTACATTTTATAATTTCCTTGCCTATCCAATTCTTTTGTTTGAGACCAGATCATAATTATGTAATATTTATGTACTGTTTGGCACCATGTTCTGTGGAACTTGTTATGACAGGAAAAACAACAACAATTTAGCACTTTTAATTTAAAGTTGCATGTTAAGAAAATAACACAAACAACTAAAACAGTTATAGTGACATTTATTATTGGTTGTAAACATGATTTTTACTCATCTTCACCTCAAGTTGAATAGAACAAAATTATATACATATCAAACCAAACTACTAAAGGGAAAACGTGTTAAAATCCACAACAACCCATATATTCAAATGATGGTATGAAGGGATGTGCCAATGTGATGGTTCACAACAAACCAAATCCAATCAGATTGGTAGTCCTCAGTGCAACAGCAGCCTCAAGCATGGGAAAAAACTCTGAGGTGGAGTGCTAGAGGGAGAACCTTCACCTTAAACAACATCATCCTCCAGATAGGACCGCACAGAAGCTGGGCACAACATCAACCTCCAGGACCCACCACAGAGAGGTGAAGCACATGATTAGAGGATTGCAAGTTATCTACACCAGCAGAACACCTCTGCCCTACTCACATTCAGGAGGTTATTTCTATGGTCCACCACCCCAGTAGCTTGGCAATGGAAATTGGCAAGGACTCCACTAGAAGAACAAAGAGGGATAAAACATGGTGGACAATCCAGAGGAATGCCAACAATGGATACAGTGCAACAGGTGCTTGAAAACCCTATACCAAAAAGCAGACTGCCCCTGATATATTCAGTCAGAGGGACAGCAGGGATGGGCAACTATCCCCTTCTGCTTTACCTATTTAAGTCCATGGGCTAGTATGGTCCAGAACAGTGATACTAATGAAGCAAATATATTGGGAGGAACAACTTATTAGCAATCTAGTGGAACACCCCATCTCAATAGTGTGCATTATTGGCCATGGGTTTACATCTTGGCTGTACAGTGAAGATTGGAAGCATACCTGGACAGGCAATGATTGCCACTGAGTGGGATCCAAGTCCAAAATGGGACATGTCCCTGGAGGGAAAAATATATATAGAAAAGATAATTTACCTAGTCACAGCTGCACTGAAGTTTGAAGGATGGCAACAGGTGGCAAGGAAGAAACAACTACCCAATGAAAACAGTAGGAGATGAATGTATGAGGGTAGGACACATGCCTGACTAAAGAATTTCCTCTAATGAACAACAGAGGCAAAACTCCAGGAAAAAAAAAAGTTAAGAATTCGGGAAGAGAGACAGGGAAAGATACACAAATTGAAGCAGTGGACAATCCGAGATTGTTATGGGAGAATGAGAAAAATCACATACAGATGAACAGTACCAGAAAAGGAAAAGGTGGAAACAGGAATCACTAAAGGAAGCCATGAGGGCAATGGAACAACAAAGAGTACATACTGGACATAGAAGTCTATCTGGAGCAGACCAGGAATAAAAGTAGGAAATGGTGGAAGACAAAACAGCAAGAAGGAAGAATGACCCTCATAAGCTGCTAAAGTGTCAAGAAGGAAAGATCAATCTGGAAGAACCACACAATGACGAGGTCAACTAATTTAGAAGGAACATAAGTGGAACTGGCTGGTCCAGTACTGACTGAGAAAATCCAATGTCAGAGCCTGAGGAACCAGAGACCAAAAAAAAGAGGTAACTTGGTGTTGCAGTAAAGTGGAAAAAGCATACAGATGTGGAGTACCCCACTGATTACATAGCCACCTGAAAAACCTGATAGTTGAGAAACCACTCTGTCAGATAAACTTGGTTGGAACATGATATGTAAGGAGATTTATATGCAGAATGTGGGCCCAATAAAGTAGGTCCAAAGTTCGACCACAGAGGGAAGAGGAATGGGTTTCCCCATAGTGATAGTCAAAATGGAGCATGACGTATTGATACTGTACCAGTGTAAGAAAATGAACCAAAGCAGCAGATGTGTGTGTTGAGAAGACTCCCTTTCGGAATGAACTAACAGGAGACAGTCGTCCATGTAGTCTTGTAAACTCAATTCAAGAGCATGAAGAAGTCGGGTAAAAGCAGTGACCACCCAGTAAAATACATATGATGCTGAAGCAAGCCCAAAAGTCCAGGCACAAAACTGATATGCAACCCTGTAGTGGACAAACTAATGATAGGCATTAGAGACATCTACTTTGGTCATTCATAGTTCTGGAAAAAAAAACAAAAAAAACCTGAGTATGATAAAGAATTCCATGGAAAATTGGGAAGATCCAGAAATTGATTGAGGCAGGACAGATGGATCACAGGACAAAAAACCTGGAGAAGATTGGCAGACAGAAGGGTCTGCACAACCTTGTATAGATGCAGACAGGTAGCTGTATCCTGAGTTAATGGGAAGAAAATTGGTACAGGAAACAAAGGTGGAGGGGAAAAGAAAAATCCTTCTGACAAAACTTGGATCACCTAAGAATTAACAGTGAATAACCACCAGATGGGAACAAAATTGTCCAAATGTGACCCCACCAGACCAGAAACCACCTGATAATCACTGGTGACAATGAACCCAACATCAAGACACTTGGCGAAATTTCGAACCCCTAGTGGTAGGAAATGGTAAAGGACGAGAAACAGTAATGGGAGAGGTCATGGTATCAAAATGAGACAAACAATTAACTAAAGACTAAAGGGTCAAAAGTGGACTTGCAGAGTCAAAAGTGATTCCAAGGACTCTGGAAAATCTCCAAAAACAAACCAATGGAGAAAAGGAACCATCCGGAAGTCATGAAGATAAGAAGGTAGATGAACCTGTGAAGAGACAGCATTCTTCCCAAGAAGGTCCCAACAGCAAGGAATCCACACGTGTAAGGATAGGATCAAAGAGGACAATAGTAACCAAGAGGGTGTACGGAGGGAAAGTGTATTTTCCAAAAACCTTGCAGGGAGGATCGGTGGAGAGCCTCAGAAAGGAGGTGTATGTTGGATAAATACTGTAGGAGAGCTTTAAGGGTAAGAAAAAGGTGGGAAAATGGACATGGGAGGAATGGATAAGATTATCAGGGACAGCCTCCCCCACATTGACAAAAGTGACTCCAACTGCTGGGAGTCGAGAAAGGGTTGATCAGCCAAAGCATAATGATCAGAAGTCCATGGAGGACAAGGCTAACACCAGCCCTCAACTGAGAAACAAAATGCTCAGCATGAACTCTGATGTCAGGGAAAGGCAGGAAAACGAGGAACTCTAATGATGGGTGTCATGTAAAAAGCAAGGAACATTATCATATGAAAATGGAACACTCCTGAGAAAGCATTGGAAGGCACGGCTTGGTTAAGAGGAGAAGGAAAAAGACTGTCAAAACCCTCTTCATTATGAATAGGTTAGGAGAATGCATGAGAAACTTGAATATTGTCAGGAGAAAAAGGATGCCTCACATAATGATCAATCTCCCAACAAATAATAGCCAAAAAATCCTCAGTCTAAACCCCCAGACCTGAAGCCAGTAATGTCACTTGAAGTAGTGGTAATAATATCAGAAGCTGTAAAAACAAAATTTGGAATTCATCTTAAGCCATGAAGAAATTGAAAATGAGGAAAAACCCATTAAACAAAGGTAAGTTATTGTAGCAAACTACTACAGAAGAAACTAGCTGTAGCAAATAAATCAGTACTTCACAAAAAAAAGAGAAACATGTAAAAATAGCACAACTGAAAAACATTTGTACTCAGTCACTGTCTAACAAGAAGTGATAGTTTGGTAAAATCAAATAGAGGGAGTCACATGCGTCAGAAGGTTGTGTCACACTTCTATTGGTGAAGGGTCGCCACATGGTGATTTACATGAGAGATGTAGTTGAACCACGTTGAGTTTAAGACTTGTGGCATGCAAAATTTTATTTGCATATAGAGTGCAGCACTGAATTAGAATAGCTATACATGCGAAGTGGAGGTAATATACCATATTGGAATTTTATGATAACTACAGGCTCTTTAATATCAGATAAGTCATAACCATGCCTTGTGAGAAACAGCAAAGCTTGAAATAATTTTTTGTTTTGTTGTGGAAGATTAAAATTTCTGGTTATATACAAGAATCAGATAATGAAACCATAACTTTTTTTTCTGTGCAAGACTACTTAAGCACTCTATACTTTGGACAGAAACTTGGGTATCATTTCCCATTTAACAGTACAAAGGAAAAAACCTTCAATAATGAATAATTTACCATAAATATAAACTTGCTATTGTTGCATATTAGAATTTCAAATAGTCTGAAATTGAGTTAACTTGTAATTTAGATTTAGTACTTAAATTGTACTTTGGATTTAGTATTTAAATATATGCCAATATATCTTCAATTTATGATATTTGCAACAAGATTGATACACACAGTTTTCTTTTTTAACACAAATATGTTTTAATATACAAACAACAATACAATTTACAATAACAGTTATTACAATTAGTTATTACTAACGATGATTTATATACTAAAATTTTACAAACTTACAGGAAATATAAAGTCTTCTTTCTAGTCTGGAACTTCTTTAATATGTTACTGAGGGTTCACAATGAGCGAGTTAATTGTGAATTGATGTAGATATAATTCACTTAACAGGGAGCTAGCTAGCTTTGTTCTTCATTATTCACCAGCTACACATGCAGAGTTTTCCACAATGAAGTTATATAATGCTTTCATAAAAATACTAATGTCCGAGGAGAATCCACTGAAGTTAAATGATTTGTAATGTTCGAACTTTGTAAGTGCTCCTGGTCAAATATCTAAAGTTTTCCAATTGATAAGCATTATAACAATCACAGTTATAGCTTCCGAAGTTTACAGTACACCAACTATAGCAAACCAATAATATATACTCTTTTTAGGCATGTCACGTTGGTTATATTTATAGGCGTGTGGAAGCTTTCTAGACATTTCAGTTTTACGTAAAAATACTGATGCTACATTTAAGTGTTTACCTACATACATATATTGTCGATTCTTACTCTTGAGAATATTCTACAACTTTGGAGAATAGGTGGGAGTTTTGCAATACATATTTAACACTATAAGCTATGCACGTTTTTAAATATAAACTTAATCTAAACGATGTTGATATTAAAATAAATATATAATAACAAATTCATTACACTACATATAAAACTTAAATAGTAGTTAAAGATACACAGTAAATACAGTTGTGTTTACCTGCTTGATTACAGCTCAAAGCTACACAATCTGTGCTCTGTCTATTTCGTGGACTGAACCCTGGATTTTGGAGCTGTAAGACCTTAAGCTTACTACAGACCGAACGAGGAACCAGTTGTGTTTGGAACATAGGTGTACACTTAATTAGAATTAAGGAAAAAATCTGGCACATCCTTAGACCTATCATGTCTGTTGTTTTTATTATACTGAAAAATAATAGGCTTAAAGTAAGCAAATTTTCATACAGCAGGTTTACTCTTTCAGTATTGGAAATCATATTAAAAGATGTGCATATGTCTATTAAGATATGCAACAGTTTACTTCTTTAGCATGTCCAAAATGTACTACTATTGTTAAATTACCAGTTGCCTCTAACACTCAAGTAATTTAGGTCCATTATATGGGGCATTCAAGGAGACCATTTTAGAAGAAAATAAATAAAATTTCACTTAATTCTGTTATTTGGTTCATTGATCATTTGTTTTTACTTTAATGCTACTATACTTACAGAATTATTAGTTTAAAAGGAATAGTCACCACAACCTAAATTAACTTTAGGGTTTGTAACCAATTACTGGTTTTCTGTAAATTGTTGTGACATCTTTTTGAATGGTTTTCAATCTGAAAAGTTACTTAAGACCAAGAATACATTATAATGTGAAGGAATTAATAACATATATTATGTTGACTGTTTAAGCAACTTTTCTGATCCTCTTGCTGTATTGATTATTTTCATATTGATTTATTAGGGTTAGAACTAATGCAAGTACTACCATGCTCACTGACTATAACTTCCACTTGTCATTATTCAAAAATTCTATGATCATTGCAATGTGTTCATCACATAATAACAGACGATGTTTGTTTTGTAACTTTTATAGGTTTACCTCCAAACTATTCCTTGACTGTGTGCATCGTGTCAATTTCAATGGAATACAACATTTTCAAAATGACTTATGGTAATGCACATATGCAGATCATTGCCTCTACATTCAGATGATGTCAAGTACATCACTATTCAACATGATGTGTAGCAGAAAACAAATTCATCTTCAACAAACATCACTTATTCAACACGAAAAAAGGCAGTGAATAGTTTTTTACTCATTTTGGCAAGAACAATACAATTTTACACTTATACTGACTAATCACCCTAAATTTTAAACCCTGCCAATTACAGGGACTCATTTAAATGAAATAAAACTTATATCTCAAATTGTAAAGTGAAGATTTCAGTGACTCTGTTAATTACTTTAAATAATTAACTGAAATGTATCAAGTTATGTGAAATATCAACAGAGAAAACAATGCATTCTAATGTTTACCTATAAAAATGTAAGAACAATATATCTAATTAACTACAGTCATTACCAGATTCACCATTAGCTATGGCCTATGTAGGTAGTTTGCTTTCATCAGAAGTCAATACTAATTTAACAATATCTTATATATTTTTAAATTTGTGATTAAAGGTATATACCTGAAAATCGTTGATACAGTTGCTGGAAAATCAGTTTGTAAAGCAACAACAAAGTTTTCTGTTAGGCGTTGAATACTTGCTTGGTTTTCTTTCTACTGAAGAAAAAATTCTTAAATTTTAGAATAAAACTGATGCACTGCTCAAACATGTTCTAAGTTTTTTATTACTCATTTTTTTATATAAGGTACATAGCACTTGTAAAATTTAATATTATAGATGTAATTTTGAAGTAGATTTTTGATTAGTTCATTTTGTAGATTTAAAATCTTAAAATCCCACCAAATTCTATTTTATATTAAAAATAATTACTTCAAGGATCGCTCATAAACAATAGATGTTATTGAATATCTAAGAAATCATTTTTACAAGTTTTGGCATTTTCTGTCCAAAAAAAGAAAATTTCCAATTAAACATATTCACCAGACAAACCAAACACCAGATAAAATTCTTCAGTTTGTAATTTTTAGAATATAAAACTGATATCTTACAGAAAGTTAAAAATAGTACTAATCAAGCTAGTAGTACACACAATATTTGTGATTGACTTGCAGGCTATAATGCATAAAATTCAGAAATAGTAGAAAGGTCATGCTGAGGTAAAGTTGAATGGGGAAATTAACAAGCTCATAGGAGAAGCCCCCCTTTTCAAATCTGGCACAATTCTACTGGTAGGATATCTGCACTAGTAAAGCAAAACAGTAATAATGAATGGCCTTCACTGACATTCAGGGAGATGAGACTGCTGGAAAACAAAGTACCATATTTGTAGCTAGGAAAAGTAAAGGATGGGGGAACCAGTAACACACCATACAGCCACAAGGCTGTTGGCAACATCAATAAATGAACTTCTCTCTTCCCCTTGTAAGGCAGTTGGCATCCACACAGAGTCAAGAGCATGCCAGCACAACCTCTGGGATTATCACTTAGTGCTCAACATATAAACTTTTTATACTAATAAGAATTGGGCTGACAATTTTCCTAAAAATACGCACTCAATGTTAATTTACCCTCCACAACAACAACAAAAATCAATGCATATTTTAGTGAAACATAAATCAATTTATAAATACACGTAGAGAAAATAAAAATACCCAAACCAGAAAAAATTTAATTATAACAGTTTTATTAATATTTTGTTTTAAGAAATTGCATTGATCAATTATAATATTAAAAAAAACGTAACTCAATAAAATTATAAGCTTAAGTTCTGTTTCATGAGCATAAAAACAGTTACTAATATTTTATTTTTTCATATAATTTTGGGTGAATATATCATCAATTGGTTTGATTGTTTATTTAGTTTTTGGCCAAAGCTAATCAAGAGCTATCTGTGTTAGCCATTTATAATTCTGAAGTGACAGAATAGAGTGGAAGGCAGCTAGTCAACACCACTCACTGCCAACTCTTGGGCTACTCTTTCCCAACAAATAGTGGGACTGTATGTCAAATTATAACACCTCCATGGCTGAAAGGGTAAGAATGTTTGGTGAATGGCTTCAATCCTGACTCTCAGATTGTGAGTCAAGCACCCAAGCCATCAGGACATTATCAATTAGTCAATGTCCTCCATATTTGTGAGACACTTTTTGTTATTAGAGCAAAGAGGCACTAGCTGAAAATTGTAAAAAACACATAAATTGAGTTCATTTTCAACTTAGGTATTTTTACTGCACATTACTGACTATTCCAAGCTGTTATCACAGCACTTTTTCAAATAGGGATACTGCCTGAAACATGTGCCCTAGATGGGATATCTGATAAGTGAAGATCCTAGTCAGCTAGAAACCCACCCTTTGGGCTGCCGTGTGCACTTTTTAAAAAACGTATTAAACAATTAATGGGAAAGTGCACAATAGTTGCAGAATGGTCTAAAAAGGTAAGAGTAACTTTCAGAATTTAAAAATCCTCTCTGGTCCAGGAGAAATAGACGAAAACAATCGGCTACCTCTCGATTTCCCAGAAAATCAAATGGAAGATTCGAAATGCTTTGATTTTAGCAAATATTAGTTATTTTAGTTCCAATGACATTATTAATCAATTTCAATTAGTGAGAATAAACATGTTCCTAGTTTTCTTCTAATACATCTTCAATCTCAATATCCAAATTTTGTAATGAAACACTCTCTTCAGAACATGTTTCCATAAGAACATCTTGCTCTGCCTCTTTCTTCTCTTTTTTACTGGATTTTGGATCTTTTGCATTACTCCATGTCTACTTTGGGGGATAACATGGCAATGTTTTGCTGTACATATAGCTGAAGGATCACAATGTAAGCACATTTCACCGCTTTTGCAGCTTCCTTTATTTTTGTATTTATGTTCTTCACACAGTTCTGGCCTTCTTGTAACATCAGTCATATTTGCACTGTGCAAAAATGGAAAACTGATTTTGAAACAGCTGAATTTTTTTTACACATGGTAGTGTTACCCAGTTTTTATGATATTTTTACACACAAAAAATTATTCTGAAATTTTCTGGTGAAAAAAACTGTAATTTTTGGGTGGGTTTCTGACTGACTGGGATCTTCAAAAAAAATGATAAGTATAATTTTTAATCATTCCCTAATCATATTTTCTAATGCTCAATTATAATGACCTTTCTCCTTATTATAACAGCAGAAAAAAAATTCCACAGTCATTTATAATCAGTTTTTCTTTCTGGTATCTGTCTCTCATTATTAAATATTATTAGCTTTTCATTAATCCTGTCTCCCTGGGTACCTTTTACTGTGCATGACACAAGATTTTAGTGTTTTTATATTCAAATTTTTATTAAACTACTTTTTGTTTATGTTATACCAATTAGAATAGCATACAATCTTAGCTAATAATCCATATTTTAATAGTATACAAGTTTTAAGTTCCTAATTCTACAAGGAAATATATAAAACAAATCATGAATTTCCACTAGTGTGACCCACTTGACACATTTTGTCTAAGCGTGTCATCATCCCTATTTTATCCATCACCCCTCAAAAATGTATGAAATTAAACGTAAAATACTCTCTATAAAGTATAGAGTTGTTATTGCTCAAACAAACCATAATTTTTATGGCCTTCAATTTTGTTTTGTTACAGAGCTATCAAATAGAAAATCAGACCCCTCCTGCCATACCCTCCCTTTCACAATTCGTTGAGTTCTCTCTTACATTTCATATTACCTATAACCAATAGAAAGTCAAGGTTTTCATCTATCAAATGATGTATTGTATAATGTTATGTTCTGAACAGGTAATCGTCAATTTCACTCAGAGTAGCAACATCGTTCCCGTGGAAAAGTTAACGACTAGCTTGGATGGATTTGTAATGGCTCTTGTAGCATGGTTAGAAAGCCAGGAAAATTTTGAGACGTAAGTGAATTTGTCTACTTTTTGCATGTTATCAGTCTATATTCTTTGGTCATTATTTAATTAAATAAAAATTGTTAAGTGCTTTACTATAATTAATATAAAAAATCAGGCTTACTCTCCTCAACATTCGAGGGCAAGAAAAAACAAGATTGGGTAATTACTTTATTTCTTGATTTTCATATTTATTCTTTATTTATTATTATAATAGTAACTAAAATTAAAAGTATGGATATTTTAAAGTTATTTAAGACTAAAATAGGTAAAACAAGTAATAAAAATAATATAATTAAAATTGTTCACAAAGCACATATGCGAGCAGCTCATGGGTAATGTAATTCGATAGCGTAACGTGAGCTGCACGTTTCCAGAGTGATTCACAACTTATAATGGTGCGGATAGCAGTTAGACACTGTTCAATGGGCAATATAAAGAGCAATAAAACAATAAAATTTAATTATAAACAGATGTATAATGCTACAAACTTAGAGCTACTTACAATAAACAAATGAAAAGAAAGAAGGTTAATTTAGGTTTGTTTTGATTTGTTTTTTGGTGGTTACGAGATTGGTCGAATTGACCGATCCAGTTTTGAGATTAGGGTAGAGAAAATAACATATAAACTATAAGGATTTAGAGAAAAAAAAAACGTTTGAAATGCATTTAGGAGGTTTTAGGGATTACACAAAGGAAATTTGAGCTTTTTGAGATGACAAAAAGTATTTTTAATTTTAACATTTAAAATTACTTTACACACGGACTATTCAAAACAAATACTCAATACATTTATGGACAAAACTTTATTTTATTTTATCAAAAGTACTTCTCTAAGAAATATGACTTTTTGTATGTGAAAGACTTGTAAAATTAACTGAAAGACTGCCAAATTTCGTGAAGATATACCCATATATAGAGAGAGTTATAAGTATTAAATTTATATAAACTTTAAACGAGTACAGAAGGTCACGTGACTCAGTCAAATCGACCGACCCCATGTCAGAAGAGTTAATATGTTTTAAACATAATGCTTTTCTTGCAGATTTTGTATTTTTGGAGGTAGTCAACTTTTGTATCATCAATGAAAAACATGTTCTTACTAGCTGAGTCCACTCCCAACCTCAAACCAGATATCTGTTTTTCAAGCTCGTCAATTTGGTTTTTTATTTTGGCTCCACCATCTGGTAAGGCTTTCAGAGATACCTTATGCAGCAGATCCTGATTGAAAAACAATTTTGATTTTATAAAAAAAACAACAATTTTCCATAAAGTAAATGATCAGCAAAATTTACAATAAATGTTTAAATATTTATAATGAATAAAATAATTTGACCATAGAGCAAATCATCTGCAAAATTTGGTATGCATCTTCAAATATTTACACTGTATGGAATAACAATTTGACCATAGAGCAGATGATCAGCAAAATACAGAATATATATTCAAACATTTATAATGAATACATTATAAAATTAGATATGTTGTTCTGTAATCTGTACAAAAAAAAGAATTAAAATAATTTCATCTTTATTAATACTTTCTAAAGGAAATACTAAAAGGATGAAGACTGATAATTTACAAGCACTCTACAAATATCGTGATTTTAAATATGGTATGATGTTTAAAAATAGTTTTCAGAACACACGCTGAAGGTGAGGAAAAGATAGGTATTTAGCAATATTTCGTAAAACAGATAATAAAGGAAGAAAGAGAATATTTAGCAAAATGTTTTATAATGGACTTAAGGAAAAACAATACAACATTTGAAAAATATTGTGGAACAGATGCTAAGAGAAGAAATAGCAGAGTAAATAGTACAGAATCTGTGGAACAGATGTTGAAAGGAGGAACACCCAATATACATTTATAATTTTGTCTGAAAGATGATAAAGGGGGAAATGGTTTTTGATATTTAGTAATGCATTTTAGATTAAATTCTAAAAGAAAACCCTTCATAATATTTAGTGAAACCTTTTGAGAAACATGTTGATCACAAATTTGAAACAATTTGAAAATTTAAGTAATTCACAAGACTTAGCAAAAAGAAAGAAAGAAAGAAAGCAGAAAGTTTATTAGTTATTTTGTAAAATATGCAGTCCAGGAAGCAAAGCTTAATACTCTACAAAGCAATTACTGATGGCAGAAAACTTGGTCTTTAATAATATGTTGTGGAAGAGATGATCAAAAAATAATTCAATCTTCAAAACACCATAGATCTTCTAGGTAGAATGCTTTTTTATTTTAAAGTGCTACTTTTTAAATAGGTATAAATATACACTGTACTATATATAGGACTTATCTAGATTAGCTCACTATTCTGTACAAACACTGTTCATATTCAGGTATAATGTGCAGCATTACCTAATTAAATCACACATTACAGACTTCACTAATTATAAACCACAGACCTAGTTGATCAGATACAATACTACTTAGAATTAAAACACATACCATGCACTGTTTCTTTACTAGTACAACTAATGCTTTATTCACTATCTGCAGACTTACACTACAGTTGCTTATCTACAGGATAGCTTATAATAAATAATACTAACTACCACATACTCTTCATTACATAAGCTTATCTAATTACTAAAAATTAACAGGTAAGTGTTTTACATCACTAGATATAATTTGGACAATAGCCGAAGAGCTGTTTCTGCTATGATTCATGTAAACATAAATATACACTAACAGAAAAAAAACAAAAAACACAGAGGTGACAAGGAAATATACAAGACCAAGATTTAAAGGCAACTAACATTTAATAGGTGTGCAAGAAATAAAGACAATCCAAAACATGCACCAGAAAACTATTTTTCTTTTCATAATTCCTCTTCATATAACACATATTTAATTTAAACTTTGTAGAATACAAAAACTGCGACAAGTTTAATCGTTATAAGCATATTTCACATTGTATTTAAATACATAATTATTCCTAGCTATAAATGCCATCTCTACGGTGAAAAAGTAAGAAGAAATCACCTACTGTCAAGATTTTATTATAAGTTCTTGTATTCTTATACTTACAGAAGACAAACTTTGTTAACTTATGTATTCCACATTTTCTAGGAGCAACCAAATATTAAAAAAAGTATGTTGCCATCTTGCTAAGTAACAACAAAATGCAGAACTAATAATAAAAGCATGTTTACTTTTTTCTGAGACAACCTTCCTTCTAGGATTTTCAGATCTGCTTGAAATTGTTCATTTCCCTCTATTTCACTCTGTCTATGACATATGTTTCCAGTAATATTTTCTGAAGTAACATCTTGATTACTTTTGGTGTGTATTTTATTCAATTTAATACGCTCTCCCAAAGGACGCTCTAATATGCAGTCATCTGAATCACTTCCTAAAGACACACCATGCTTCTCTCTCCATTCATAATTATTTGTCTGCTTTGTGGTTTCAACAAACTTGCCCTGTTCAACTTTATCAGATTTCATGCTGGTTTCCTTTACTGCCATATTACTATCCTTCAAATAAGGTTAAAAATGGTTTTTAGTACATATTCTATACACATATATATATATATATATATCACTTTCCTTGACATTTTTAGTGTTAAAGGTTTAAAATTAGTATAAAGATAATCTGGCTCTAGACATATTTTTATTCATTTCTCAATTATATAGGAGCAATAGACTTTACATAAAACCTATGAATCATCATACATAGTTTTTTTCTCAGAAAGATTTAATATAAGTGCCACATTTTTTTGTTCTGGATTAGCATGGGCATATTTTTTTTTATCTAGAATATGTATAAGACAAACTGCAGGGTGTCTGAAAAGTCTGTAACCATTGGTGATTTGCAGCTTTTCTTAATTTCAGATACGTCAATGACACTATGAAAGCATGAGAAGGTCAAGTTAATCCAATTTGTTTTGAATTACAAGGACAGCATGGAGAAAACATTCTGTAAGAAAAACATATCTACAAATAGCAATCATGTATTAACAAGTAAATACACAAATGAAAGAAAAAAAATTTTTTAAATGCTTGCTCAGTCCTAATTAGCATTTGTTTTCAACATGAAACCAAAAATATTGAAAGTTATGATTTTCCTGCACTAGAAATAGATTTCTGATAGATACTTACCTCCTCTCACATATAAAACTCCTCTCGATCTTGAAATGCCCTCCAACACATTAAAAATCTTAATTCTTGCCTAATATACTAGCCTTTTTACATCCCTCAGTTCCTTTTAGCATGCATAGTGCATTCAACAACCCTCCACCAACAGGAGCACAACATACACTCCCTGAGCAGCTGGTTCCCTCTGTATTACATTCTGTGTATCTAACTATCAAGATTAGGTATATCATAAAATAGGGAAATAGGGAGGAAGGGCAGGAAGTATGTGAAAAGAGGTAAGTATCTATAGGAAATCAATTTTCAGGGTAGGAAGATGAAAACTTCTGATACAATACACACCTCTTCTCACATATGAAGCTAGAATCCCACACTGAGTAGATGGAGGGTGTAACAGAAAGAATATTTTAATAGATTCCCCAGAGAATCTAACAAGTGTGTGTAGTAATTGTATGAAAGCACACTAGAAGGGGACTGCACCACTTCTGGAACAGGTGTGCCCTTTGCCAGTGAAGAAGTGAAGTGCTGTGAAACAGGCAGCATTGACGACCTAACCAAAATTGAAAAGCCCCGGAAGACACAGTAGAAAGACTCACCCCAACTGTACAGACAAGGTTCCACATCCTCAGTATTACAAGGTGGAGAACAGTGTCAAAGAATCAATAGAGGAGAAATATGATAATGTGGCCAGGGCGAGCAGAACGTGAGCAATATATATATATATATATATATATATATATATATATTATATATATAACACACACACAACACACACACTACAGAACGTAGAGTAGTATAAATTATAGTAACGACGTAGTAACGTATAGTAGTAACGTAAAGTAAAGTAACAACTAACGAACTAAC